AGAGATTCATTTTCAGTCTTGAGTTGAGTGATCTCATTCAGTTGACTTTTCCGACCTTCAGTCAACTTGAGATTCTCTTCACTCAATAGTTTGTTCTCCTCTGTTAAGGAAGAATGTTTGAGATTTATCTCCTCAAAGTCTTTCATCATCTTTTTGAACTGGTCAAAAAGATTTTCAGAAGTTGGTATGCTTTCATAAGAAGATGAGCAGGAGGTCTGTGAGGTTACCTCTTGATCAGCATCATCTCTGGCCATTAGGCAGAGAGTGTCATCTTCTAACATAGTCCACCTATCCTCATGGTTGGAATTTTCAGCTCTGCGCTCCATGCAGATGAGAGCTTCTTCATCCGAGCTTGAGCTGGATGACTCGTCACTTTCAGCAGCAACCATTGCCTTCTTTTTCTTCTCGATCCTTTCTCTTTCTCCGTACTTCTCCACTTTTGGGTACGGGCATGCAGACTTCCAGTGGCCAGGCTTCCTGCAATTGTAACACAAATAAGATTCAGGAGGAGAGTCACTTACCTGTGGCTTTCCCTTGGATGGCCTTCTGACTGAGTCAGCTTTCTTGAAGAACTTTTTGAACTTCTGGAATTGCTTGACCATCATGGCAAATTCCTCATCGTAGTTCTCCATTTTTGAACTTGACGGCTGACTGGAGGAAGGTGTGTCACTGTAATGCCCCAAAAATAGGTCTATCAGAGTTAATTAATTTATAATTAATTAATTACTGAGAAGGACCCAAAAATAAGTAAATTCTAAAGTTTGTCAATAAATAATGAAAATCATATCATTATGTAGAGTTTGACTGTCTGATCCCAACGGTTCAATCAGATTTCAATATGGAGAAAGTTGGAACAAAAAGTGTACCCAAACTGGGACCAAAATTAGTCCCAATCAGGGACTACACACCAAACGGCGCCCTGTTCAATTACGCCGATTCCAAAATGTAAATAGCCGCACAATCACGGAAGCAACCAAGCCTGTGTCTTCTTCTTCTCCACTGGCCTATTTAAGCACAACTCAACTCCCTCAATTCCTCACCAAAAACATTCATTCTTCCTCCTATATTGTTCCTTGCTGAGAATAGAGTGCAGTGGTGCTGTCATCTTTGTGTGAGGTCGCCGGAGCAGTAAGATAGAGTCGCCGGAAGGTTCACCGGAAAATCTTCAAAACTTCCCCTACGCTTCAAGGTAAGCCTGTAGATATATCTAAAGATTAGAATGTTCATATAGGTTGTTTTTAAGTTCATAAATGGTCATTTGGTTGAGTTTTGTGTTTGACATGTTTGAAGAACCAAGAATCATAAACCTTGAATTTGATGTTAAAAATATGTTTTAATAATTCTAAAATGATCTATGAACCTTGGAGAACATTTCTATATAGTTTAATTGAAGTTTGGTAACTAAAATTGATATGTCTGAAAATGGACCGAAGGTAGAAGACGATGAACAGTGATCGAAAATCGATTATTCTCTTCCTAAAAATCGATTAAAACTTGTTCAGATAACATGTATCAAAATAAAAAAAAATCGATTATATTAAGGTATTAAATCGATTTTTTTGTAATTAATCGATTAAAATATATATTAAAATCGATTTTACAAATTAATCGATTAAAATATATTGAAAAATCGATTTTTCAAATTAATCGATTAAAATATGTTGAAAAATCGATTTTATAAATTTAATGGATTAATATATATTCAAAAATCGATTTTTATATTAATTTATTGAATAAATCGATTTTTCCTCAATTCTAGTGTCCCGAAAATATTCTTGGAAATATTATTTGAAAATACTAATTAATTAAGAACAATTTAAATATGATTTTGTATAATAAATGATGTTTTGTTTGGCATATAAAACATTATGTGATGCATGACGATAAGTGCGGGTGTTAACACCCGAGACTAGGCCGCTGTTTGCTATTAAATATTATGTTGAATGATCATTATGATGAAAAATTATTATGGATAATTATGAATGATAAACCTACTGATTAAAATGATTATTGATGACTAAGTCATGATTAAAAAAAATGAATTAATGGTGATTATGAAAACAGTGTATATTGTTAAGGATATCTAGAAGAACTCTAAGATATACCCACTTGTATATTGATGATGATTGTTAAGGATATCTAGAAGAACTCTAAGATATACCTACTTGACCAATATATATTTCGGGTTAAAACGTACGTACGGGATCCAGACCAGATATCACCCACCCGACAAATCATTGTTCGGTTGGTACGTAATCCACATGACCCATAGGGTTGATTATTGATTCTTGTGTTCTGCATTAAACTATTTATAGTTTAAGGGCCTAGTTAGAAATGTTGCCTTAGACTAGGAATAGCTAAGAGCTTGTTATAAAATGATTTGGCCTTAGATTAAGAATAATTTAAGAGCATGGTTGAGATATTGAATATCAAATGACTTGGAACAAAATATTGAGAATATCATGAATGTTTGAATCATATATTGTGTGCATGATATCAAATGGTTGATTATGAATTGAGATTCAATTTATTTGGATGTTCGACGCTTTAGATATGCTTACTCAGCTTCATCGCTGAGCGTGTAGTATGTTTTATTTGCTACACGCAGGTAGACAGAATGAGTGAATGGCATGTTCTTGGCAGCGGAAGGGGCGAGACAGTCGTGGTGGATTTATTGAGAAAATAAATGATTATGTTATTATGAATCATGTTTAAAA